CCCATCCTACTCCCTGGCCCCCCAACTTTTAGTTCTGGGCCCTTGTTCAGTTGTGCCTACACTAAATATTCATTCATTTGAGCAATACTTATTGGATACTTACTATGGTTCTGTGCTATATGCCCGGGATACAGTGCTAGAAAAGAAAATTATGGTTCCTACATCTATGGAACTTACATATTGACAGAGATAAGAGAGAGAGATCAAGTAATTGCAAGTTAAATATTTACTATGAAGAAACAAATCAGGTGCTGAGATAAAGATTAATAGACAAGCACTCATGTCTACTAATGACAGTAACCAAGGAAGGCCTCTCTGAGGTGACATTTAAGCTGAAACTGAGAACAGGGATTAGCTAGCCATGCTACTGTGGGTAGAATATTACAGTCAAAAGAAACTGTATGTACAAAGGCCCTGTGGTGGGAAGAGTTTCGGGTAAAGAAACTGAAGGAACAACACGGCTAGCACTGTGGAGACAGTGGAGAGAGGCAGGACTCAATAGTAAAATGCTTTGTAAGCCATTACAAAAAGTTAAGAGTTTCATTCTCATTGAAATGGATGATTTTAAGCTGGGGAGTTATCAGATCACTGTTTTAAAAAGATCACTTTTGCTGTTGTGTGAAGGAACAATTAAAGGAGGAAGAGTGGAAGTGAGAAGACCAATTAGAAGGTTGTGGACTCCAGGCAAGGGATGGTACAAGGTTGGACTAAAGTGGAATTGTGGAGATGGCAAGTAAAGGACATTTATTTGGAGGTAAGCTCTGTGGGATTCCCTGATATGAGGGATAAGAGAGTGAAGGAAAGGGAGGAATCAAGGATGACGCCTCGATTTCCGGCTTGAGTAATGCAGGGAGTAGTTACATAATTTCCAGACATAAGTAAGACTCGGGAAGTGAAGAAAAGATTGTTCAGGAGACCACTGAAGTGGAGATCTTCAAGCAGTTTCCCAGGAACCCCCTCTAAGGATACTGGCCACGGGAAGACTATGGGACCAATATCCAGTTTTATCTTCCTATGTCCACGATCTCACTTCTTTGGGAATCTTCTTCCCAAAACCAGGCTATGTGGTACAATCATCTTCCCAGTTACCTAACTCAAGACTGCAGCCCCTTTTGACTCCACTTTCTTGCTACCTATGCTACTTTTCAGGGTTTCACTGCTAATCACAAAAGGAAAACAGAAAGATAATAAAAACTTTTATTTTATTTATTTATTTTTGAGATAGAGTTTTGCTCTTCTTGCCCAGGCTGGAATGCAGTGGCTTGATCTTGGCTCACTGTAATCTCCACCTCCTGGGTTCAAGCAATTCTCCTGCCTCAGCCTCTCAAGTAGTGGGGATTACAGGTGCATGCTCCCATGCCAGGCTAATTGTCATATTTTTAGTAGAAATGGAATTTCGCCATGTTGGCCATGCTGGTCTTGAACTCCTGACCTCAGGTGATCCACCCAAGTTGGCCTCCCAAAGTGCTGGGATTATAGATGTGAGCCACCATCCCCAGCCAGAAAGATAGTAAAAACTTTAAAAATTCCAATTCCTGGTTCCTTTCTTTTATTCAATCATGCTAAACAGAGGCCCAGATGGGTTCTGTGCCTTGAAACTTTATTTCTGAGAGGGGACTTAGTATGGCCTGAATGTTTGTGTCACCCCAAAAGTCATATGTTGAAACTGAACCCCCAAGGTGATGGTATTAAGAGGTGGAGGCTTTGGGAGATAATTAGGTCATGAGGGCAGAGTCCTTATGAGTGGGATTAGTGCCCTTATAAAAGAGGCTTGAGGAAGGCTGCTTGCCTTTTGCCATGTGAGGACACAGAGAGGTAACCATCTATGGAGGAATGGGCTCTCACCAGATACTCAACCTGCTGGCACCTTGATCTTGGACTGCGCAGCCTTCAGCACTGTGAGCAGTAAAGCCTTCATGCGGCTTTATGTGTAGCAAAGGACCCTGGAGTTAACAGAAGCCAAGAAGATTTCATCTCCTACAACTCTGAGAAATAAGGGGCAGAGAGACTGGGAACCTCTTAAAAATAAATGAGATAAAAATACAGAAAATTGGATAAATATGCATAAAAATGCTCATAATTTACCCAGCCTAAGGTACAGACTAAGGCAAGACTTCAGCAACTTTCCATCTGAAATTCCCATATCCTTCCCCTTCCCTTTTGGACTGAGCCCAAGGTCTGACAGACTGTTCTCTCCTGCAACACTTCATGTCATACAGTGCAGGCTTGTGAGGCCATCAAGTGCCTTATCGCCTTACCTGTGGGTATTCATTTCCTAGGGTTGCCATAACAAATCACCATAAATTGGGTGGCTTTACACAACAGAAATTTGCTCTGCTGGTTAGCTGCCTCAAAACAAGGTGTTGTAAAGACCACCCTCCCTCTAAAGTCTCTAAGAAAAAAGCTGTCATTGCCTCTTGTAGTTTCTGGTAGCCCAGGTATTCCTTGGCTGGAGGCAGCATCACTCAGTCTGGCCCTTGACTTCACATGGCAGTCTTCCCTCTGTATCTATGTCCAGATTTCCCTCTCCTTGTAAAAACACCGGTTGTATTAGATTAAGATTCCACTCTTTTTCAATATGACTTTATTTTCACCTAATTAATTACTTCTGCAATGATTCTATTTCCAAATAAGGTCATATTTTGTGGTACTGGGAGGCTAAGGCTTTAATGTTTTTATTGGGGGGATGCAATTCAACCCATAACAGTTTGAAATTTGCATTTCTTTTCATTACAGACCCTGTGACATCTCTACAATTTCTCCACACACAACCCACAGTGGACCACAGTGGACTGGTCCCATTTGGATACTCCTACACTAGCCTGGTAGTCTCAGAAACTTCATAGAATCCTAGAGGTGAAGGATCCGTGTAGCTCATCCCACACGGTCATATAATCAGGGTACTTGCTTGTAAATTTTCCATATGAAACATGATTATTAGACATGCAAAATGTTTGTGTTTGCTTGGTTGTTGCATTTTTTCCCATGTAGGCAAGCTACTTGGGAAGTCAAATGATCAAACAGTTGCTTGGAGAGAATGGAAGAAGCTGGAGGTGGGGGAATGGGAGGCAGGAATTTTACAACGTGGACATTTGGGAGTATCCACTCAGGACTACAATGAGAAGACAGGAGGGGCTCCACCTTTGCTCAGTGCTTAGATGAAGGCTGCTAATCTTGTCTCTGACAAGTGATTTTTACCTCCTTGGCTGACCAAATCCTCCCCTGCCCTTTTTTGTTAGATACATATTATTTATTCAACCTGGTTACTGTCCATTCTTATGGTCTGTGGAGCCCCTTGACTGCTTTAAGGTACTTGCTAATCTCTGCTCGGATCCATTAGGAATTCATTTAGAATTTAACTCTCTGAAGGCGACTTCATTTCTAAGGCTTAAGGACACAGTGCAGTCACAAACAGAGGAGAGGAAGGTAGAGGTCCCAGCAAAGAGGACTGCCTCACTGCGACAGTATACTGCAAACCCTCAGGAAAGTGGGAGGATAACAGGAAGACCCTGAGGAAACGAGAAACTCAGGATGAGGGGCGACAAACAGGAATAAGGAAGAGTGAATACCAACCTCGACTTTGCAGTTTTCCCTAGAGCCAATTCTGACAGTATTCTCCTGGCTCTTCACAAAGAGCAGGCAGTGAAAACTGAGATGACAACAATTTTTTTCCTCTGTAAAGCCAGGCTCAATTTGAGACAGAATATTAATGGCAAAAGGCTCAATATCTCATTACCAATCCCCATGGGCATATAGTCCCCAGAAAAGATAAATATTTGACTAGATGATGATAATATGTGCGATAATTTATAGTCAGCATTCCACATGCATTTTCAATGAATCTTTTATTTGCAACTGGCACTTTGGAATGGGCTATGCAACAATTATATACATATATATTTTAAATTCTCAACTCAGGATCTGAGGATCATTAAGCCCATATAAGCCTTCAAAAAAGAGCAGTTTCCTTATTGATTTACCCAGGACAGGCAACAGAATGTCTATGTTCTTTCCCTTTATCTTTCAGTTCATTGAGTAAAAATAGACTGAGGCTTACCCCAGTTTTCTCAGAATCTTCCTTGAAGGTGAACTTGAGGTCACCTTAAGGGCTATCAAAACCATTTCTTATTGCCAAGCTTGAAAAAGTTTTCTCAATTCTTTGAAATTCTGACTTTGGGGTAACTTTAACCTCTTTCTAACTTCTAATTAGCTTTTCTTCAAGGACGAGAGCTCAGTGGAAAGTGAAAAAAAAGTCGGAGAGGTTGCCTGGGGCACCCAGGTTGCAAAAGTAATGGGGCTCCTTTCATCTCTTCCTCTGTGCTAATTCTAAGGATTAATACTGTTGTCTGTAAAATATCCTTTGAAACCAAGCCTCCCAAAGAAGTTATTGATGTATACAAGCAAACACAATTCCCAGATGGGCTACTGGCTGATTTATGCTGATCCATGTACCTACGCCCTCACAGATTTGTCTTCAATGACAACTCTTGTAAGATGAGTCATTCTTACATGGACTCTTCATAGACAGCCTATTATAGATCCTTCCAAATCCCTGCAGTCAGTGCATTCTGGAGTCAAGTACTTTTCCACTAGGTGGGGGGATGTTTTTCTAGTGGAAAAGAAATCTTCCATTCATTTGGACATGGGGTAAAAATGACTGGCAGAAAATGTGTTCTCAAAAGACTCCACTGCAAAACTTTATTATGACATTACTAAAAGATGAAGTCAAGTAGATATTTTTTAAATTAAGGAAGAGTCTGTTTTCAAAGATAAATATATCCTTTGATTCATTCAACAAATATTTATTTAGTAGCTACTCAGGTCAGGAAGAGGCACTAGGTTTAAAGTATAATTTTAACTCTCATGGAACTTACATTCTGGTGAGGAAGATGGATAATAAAGAAGTGAAGGTACAATAAAACCTAATAGTTCCCAGTAGTGACAGGTTTTGGACTTTTAAAAAGAAACGAATAGGATAATTGGAGGGTAACTGGGTATAGCGTTTGGATGTTTGTCTTCTCCACATCTCCTGTTGAAGTGTGAGCCCCAGTGTTGGCGGTGGAGCCTAGTGGGAGGTGTTGGAGTCATGGGGTTGGATCCTTCATGAAGGGCTTGCTACCATTCTTGTGTAATGAGTGAGTTTTCACTCTATTAGTTCACAAGACAACTGGTGGTTTAAAAAGAATTTGGGACCTCCCATCTTTCTCTCTATTGTTCCCTCTGTCATCATTTGACGTACCTGCTACTCCTTCATCTTCCACCATGACTGTAAGTTTCCTGAGGCCTCACCAGAAGCCAAGCAGATATTGGTGCCATGCTTGTACAGCCTGCAGAACTCTGAGCCAAATAAAACTCTTTGGTTTTAAATAAATTACCTAGTCTCAGGTATTCCTTTACAGCAACGCGAAACAGACTAACGTACTGAGGAAGGAAAGTCTTACATAGAGTGATCATGCAGAGCCACGCTGATGAGATAATGTTTGAACAAAAACCTGAAAGATGAGAAGATAGTTGTGAGAAGTGAAGGAAGACTCTTCCAGGCAGAGGGGCTATCAAAAGAGCATAACTCAAAGCCAAAATGGGCAGAAGTGGACATTTTGGAACATAAAGGAGCCATCATGTCTGACTGAAGGTGAGATGAGAACAGGTAAGTAGGTAGGAGCTTTCCCAGTGGAGGTCTGATTGGCTATGGCAAGAGATTGGATTTTTTTAAGAGCACAGTGGTGCCATTAAGGGATTTCAATCATATGAGTCACATAGTCTGCTAAAAGATGACCTGTTCAATAAACTTAAACATTGACCACATCTTTTTCTTTTAATTTATTAATTTAAATGTATGTATAAAGTTTATAGTTCTCTCCTTTCTCTCTCTCTCTCGTAGCGTCTAAAATTGGATGCAATACTTTTAACAGCTTTTGGGGATTCCTGTGAAGTTTTTGTTGACTGGTTCTGATTTTATCTCCATAGCAGCATATTAGGGAATGGTCAGATAGTCAATGGCTACAAATTATAGAGAGGCTTAGTATTCTGATGAATATATTTAATATCACAAATCAACTCAAACCAACACCTTCATGTTTCATTGAGGGAATTTTATGTTTACATTAATTTCTTTCTAACTCTTTGTAGGTCACTCTTAAAGCTTAATTTTTCAATATTTTAGTACTTTTAAAATACTTTCTCCATTATTTTTCAAGTAACAAATCAACGTTTATAATTTTTATTATTCATAGCCCTAGCTTATTATATAATGTGATTGCTCTTATCACTTTCTGGTTCATTTCTTGATTTAGCCATTTTAGGATTTTCAGCCCTTTTTAAAGTTCTCCTTTACAGTTTGTTGTTGGTGGTGGTGGTGGGTGTTTTTTGTTGTTGTTGTTGTTTGTTTTTGAGACAAGGTCTCCCTCTGTCACCCAGGATGGAGTGCAGTGGCACAATTTTGGCTCACTGCAGCCTTGACCTCCAGGGCTCAAGCAATCCTCCCACCTCAGGCTCCCAAGTAACTGGGACCACAGTCACTTGCCACTTCCTCCAGCTAATTTTTTGTATTTTGTGTAGAGATGGGTTTTTACCATGTCACCCAGGCTGGTCTCGAACTGCTGACCTCAGGTGATCCACCCACGTCGGCTTCCCAAAATGTTGGGATTACAGGTGTGAGCTACCATGCCCAGCATACAATTTCATGTTTATGGTTAAGGTAGCTCAAGTTAGAACTATTAATCATACAGTCTGTTATACTAACTTCTTTCAAGTAGTCTGTCTACTAAGTTGAATAATTTTCCTTTTCCATATTGAGTTTTTCTGCAAACTGCTATGAGCCTATATATACAATTTTTCCAGGTTAGAATGAAAAATATTAGCATTTATTACATGGTAGGATTTTATAAGCTACTTCTTGTTTATTTAGAATACTCTTTAATGTTAATTTAGTGTTTGAAAAGTAAGAAATGTCATTGAAATAATTCTTAAAAGAAAGTTTTTTTATATATATAAATTCATATGTTGGAGAAATTTGGAGAATTGTTATTTGGCAGATTTTCATTGGGTAAATTAAATTTCTGTAAATTGGCATTTGGCAAGTTGATTTTTCAGATAATTCACTGAGAAATTATTTAGTTTTCATTAATGAAGAAAAAACATTACCAAGAAAAAACAAAAAATAAATAAAATGAAATAAATTTAAAAAGAAAAACAAAAAAAAGAAAGAACATTGACATAAATGTGGGAAATGTATATTGAATTCAAGCCTTTGCTTTTTGAGAAAAACTTGATTATAGATTTAATTTGATTTTAAAGCTTCCAATCATCCAAGTTGTCAGGCATCTCTTTATATATGGTTTTATCAAATTTTTTTAAAATGTCATATTTTCTGCTATTCTTTCAGGGCAGCCTTTTTTTTTTTAATACTCACCTCTCATAAATAATATTTTCCTAGGATGAAAAAAAACTCAATTACTAAGGAGAAGAATTAACTTCAATTCAACAGAGACATGCATGTATTAGTGCTGCCCAATGCCTTCCTGAATTTTTTTTCTCCAATAAAGTTCCTGGTATACTGCCGGATGACTACCCAAAATGCAGTTACAATTGTGGGATTTTATGATTTAAAAGTAATTTAAAAATCAATTCCCTTTGCCATTTACTCTAAGAGACAATTACTTGCCTCGGATTGTTTTGAAATGTGGTCAGATAAAAGAAGCTTTCTCTGGCCCTCACCATTCCCCAAGTCAGAGGTTACGATTTCCACTCACTCAAGTTCCATTTTATGAGAATGGCAAATATTTTCGGTATGTCTTTGCTGTTTCTCTGTTTCCCCCTCCCTTCCTGAAGCAGTGCTAAGAAGTTGCTTGTGATTTTTTGTCTTTTGTATTCTATATCTTGCTCAAATATTTCTATCTTTTCTTGTCCCTGTCTGCATTTTACTTTTCTGCACAAATACAATTTAAAATGAGTATATTTTAAGAAAAGTAGGAGCAGTATCATCTTTACAAAGGAATTAAATATGCTTGAAATTCCAGTGTCTTTCCTCACCCAGAATAAAGCAGAATAACACATTTGAGTTAGACACTTTGACTTAGAAGACAAACATTTCCTGTAAATGGGTGGCTTCAAACTTCTCATTATTCTTATTACAAAATTTGGGGGATAACACAGGTTTTTTAAATAAGTAAATAAATAAATAAGTCCATTAGTGGAGTAGGTTAAATAATAAGTAAATAAATAAGTCCGCTAGTGGAGTAGGTTAAATAATGTCCTCCCCCAAGATGTCCACATCCTAATCCCTGAAACTGGTGAATTTGTTACCTTACATGGTAAAGGCTCTTTGCAGATGTGGCTAAATTAAGGGGTTTGCAATGGGGAGATTATCCTGGGCGGACCTAATGTAGTCAAATGGGTCCTTTTACGAGGTAAGAAGGAAGGTCAACGTCAGAAAGGAAGATGTGATGATGAAAGCAGAGGTTGGGGTGATGCCACTTCTGGAGGAGGGCCCTGAACCAAGGCATGGGGACAGCTTCTGGTAGCTGGAAAAAACAAGGAAGCCAATTCCCTCCTAGAACCTCCAGCAGGAAGACAGCTCTATCAACCCACTGGTAACTTCTGACCTTTGGATGAGAACAAAGTTGTTTCAAGTCACTAAGTTTGTTGCATTTTGTTTATAGCAACAATAGAAAACCAATACGACTGGAATGTTAAAGGAACTTTCCATTGGAGTCCTTTTTAAAGAGTAGGACCTCTTTAAAGAAATATTTTTAGGATCCAGGTTTACACCTGTAAACCCAGGACTTTGGGAGGCCGAGGTGAGCAGATCACAAGGTCAGGAGTTTGAGACTAGCCTGCCCAACATGGTGAAACCCTATCTCTACTAAAAATACAAAAATTAGCTGAGTGTGGTGGCAGGTGCCTCTAAGGCTGAGACAGGAGAATTGCAGGAACCTGGGAGATGGAGGTTGCAGTGCCCAGATTGCGCCACTGCACTCCAGCCTAGCAGAGTGGTTAGTCTGGGAGATAACAGATTCTGATTGGCTGGTCTGAGAGATAACATACTCTGATTGGCTGGTGTGGGAGATGAGCCTACCCCTGTGACAGAAAGTTGGGCCAGCATCAATCAAAGCTCACAGAAATGGGTTCCCCACAGAAATTAGAGAGTTAAAAATTAACTATCAATGAAAAGCAGAGATAAAAGACCATGTAATTGTGGAGGGGGAGAGAGAAGAAAGGGAAGGGAAGGGGAGGGGAGGGGAGGGGAGGAGAGGGAAAGAAAAAAGAAAAAAGACTCTCTTATGACTTTCTAGTTCTTGCATATAATTCTTCATGACACCAAGTCACATTGCCTGTGGATTCAGGAGTATCCCGCATACTTCTGATAAACTCTCTCATTTCTTAAGTCAAGAGTATTTATATTCTTGGTATCCCAATGATTCCCAACCAAGAAAGACCAAAGTAATATATCTTTAATGAACGAAAGTATCAGATGATATTTTATTGATAACAGTATTTTTGATGCTTGTGGTGGAATTCTTTTTCCCAGTAATAGCCTCTTGATTTTCTTTGGGGAAACACTCTGGATTCCTGTGTTTTGGATGAGCCTGGTGAAGCCAAAGTTCCGGCCATGGGACGGGTGATTCAGGTCGGCTAATCAGCCTGGGGCCACAGGGATTGGTTCAAGGGTGGGCAGTTGATCCAAGGCCCAAGATTTTTTTTTGTGGGAACCATTGAGACTCTTTCTGCTGAGCTTGAAGCTTTGAGGACATGAGAGACTCTGGAATCCATCTTACCACCGTGAAGGCAAAGCCTGCTTGAGGATGAAAGAAAGAAGATTAAGACTGCTGACCCCTGAGGATGTAGCCTGGGTGTATGGATCTAACTGTGTGCTTAACCAATTCCTAGACTCTTAACTATGTAAACCAATACATATTCTTTTGTGCTTATACTAGCCTGAGTTAGATTTCAGTCACTTACCACAGAAAAAGTTTTTACCAATATAATAACTTATGTATCTTTTCAGTTATTGTTTCAGTTATATTTGCATCGTAATGTATTGCTATGCAACAAATACCCCCTAAACACAGGATCTTAAAATAACAATGATGTTTTCTTTCTGCTATTCTGTGGGCTAAATGAGTGAGTCTTCCGTTGACCTCGCATAGGCTCACCCCTGCAGCTGCACCCCACTGATG